TGTTCTTCCTGATGAAAGAAGCCTGATGAAATGCACCCTAGAATACTCAAGGAGCTGGAGGAGGGGACAGCTGAGCCATTAGCTATTATTTGGGGGAAAAGTCATGGAATGTGGGAGAGGGAAGTCCAACCTGTACTTATCAGTGGTTCACAGTCATGAGTGGGGTTCTGCAAGGATCAGTTCCGGATGCAGTTCTGTTCAATATCTTTATCCATGAATTAGATATTGGCATAGACTGCACTTACAAAGTTTACAGGTGATACCAAGCTGGGAGAGGTTGCAAGTGCTTTAGAGGAGAGGGTCATAATTCAAAATGATCTAGACAAACTGGAGAGATGGTCTGAGGTAAATAAGATGCAATACAATAAGGGCAAATGCAAAGTACTCCACTTAGGAAGGAAGGATCAGTTGTAGACATACAAAATGGGAAATGGCTGCTCAGGAAGGAGTACTGTGGAAAGAAATATGGGCGACATAGCGGACCAACAGCTAACTGAGTCCACAGTGTAACACTGCTGCAGGCAGGCAGAAAGAAAGAAAATTCTGGGATGTATTAACAGGAGTGCTGTGAATAAGGAATTCGAAGTAATTCTTCCCTTCCACTCTGTGCTGATTAGGCCTCAACTAGAGTATTGTGACCAGTCTTGGGTGCCACAGAAAGTCCAAAGAGCAACAAAAATGATTAAAGGTCGAGGAAATATCATCTATGACAAAAGATTGAAAAAACTGTCTTTGTTTAGTCTGGAAAAGAGAAGACAGAGAGGACATGATAATTTTCAACTACATAAAAGGTTGTTACAGGAAGGAGGAAGAAAAATTATTCTCCTTAGCCTCCGATGATAGGACAAAAAGTGATGGGCTTAAACTGCAGCAAGGGAGGTTTAGGTTGGACATTAGGAAAAACTTCCTAACTGTCAGGGTGGTTAAACACTGGAATAAATTGCTCAGGGAAGTTGTGGAATCTCCATCACTGGAGATATTTAAGAGCAGGTTAGAAAAACATCTGTTTGGGACTGTCTAGACCAGAGCTGAGCAATAATTTTTAATGGGGGGGGGGACACGCTAAGATTTTGGTAAGTGGTCAAGGGCTGCACTTTTCTACAGAGGAGGTGAGGGATCTGGGATGGAGTTTAGGTGCAGAAGGGAGTTCAGGGTAGGGGACTGAGGTGCAGAGCGGGTGTGGAGTTTGAGAGGGTTTATGGGTGAAGGAAGAGCTTGTGACCTGGGGCAGAGGATTGGGGTGCAGTGTTGTAGGGGTGCAGGAGAGGATTCTGACCTGGCAGTGGGGGGGTGCAGGATCTGGGAAGCAGCTGTGACCTAGAGAAGGGTGTGCAGAGGGTTT